TCCATAATTATACAAATTCACATTCATCCTTTCAGGAGTTTAGTGTCTTTCCCAGCTACACATTGACAGGCAATGCAGGAGCCAAACTGCCAACCTTTTCCGATTGAATGACAACCTGCACTAACTCTGAGGTAGATGACCGCCTCATCCTCTGGGCCACAACTCCCCACTAATAGATCAGAGTTCATGGAATGTTAAGGAGGGTACTGAGAAACGAGACCTGTGAAGCTGAGCTTAGCAGGGGGAGATTTGATGACAAAGATTTAATGGTTGTAAAGAACACCCACAGCCTGTGATTCTTGCAACTCGTCAAATACCAACCAGGCCATTAACAGGTCACACAGCAGTGACCGAGTTGATCCAGCAACATCATCAGTATACTCATTTGTCACCAGATTGTTATTGTTAACAATAAAATATTGTGTTTACATTAATGCTGGCAACAATTATTTTTAATTGGGATGAAATTACATTGTTATCAGCAAATTGCACTATTTAATTCGAAAATAGTGTTTTGCGCACTTTTATTTGTGCAAGAACGTATTATTATACACTTATTAATGAAATACTTTGTAACAGCAGCATTCCTTGAGGTATTTCTTGTAAATCTCCAAAAAAATGTATTAATCAAATCAAATCCAATACAGAAAACCAAAGCTATTTGCAACTGCCAGGGAATTTATGTTTTATCTAGATGTTATGGAAAAACAAGATCCACGATCATATCTATCACTATGAAAGGCAAGTTAACATTCATACATCTTCTATCCCTCTTTCTGAACAGGTAACATTATAAAGATGGAAGCAGCATAAACATTATTAGTAATCTATCCATTTATCAATAATGTGTGTTCACTAGCAGGTGTTAGACAGTATTTAGGATAGTGAAGGGGATAAAGATGCAACACATCTTTGGTTTAGTTTTTAATTTCATTGTATTTCGGCACAAGTTGTCTGTTATTAGTTGATTGAAATGTATAAAATGCCATAATTGAACTCTGAACCTTCCAATAATCATATACTTTACCACCGGAGCCACTGCCCCCCAATTATGAATTAATTTTATGGATCCAATCAAAAAAAATTATATTCAGTGTGAATATTTTCCATTTTAGAATGTACTGTTGCAAGTGTCATATTGCTTTATTGTCCTCTGCTCAGCTACTTCAAATGTCATTTCCTCCTTGCAAATGTAAATTGCATTTTAAGGGTACAGAGTTTTGACTTTTCCATTCTCTCTCCTGCAGCTTTACCGTCTTCATCAGATAAGTCATCAATCACTGTCAATCAAGTTTTTTGGTCCATCGGCTGAGTATGGGTCATTGCACCTTCATTCTGCATTCAGTTGCTCCATCAGCCAATTTCATCATGGTTCTTGTATGCAAGGAACAACTGGGCAATAGGATAATGCTATAGATAACGGCTCGCCATTAAAGCAAAATATGATTGTACATATATACTGAGCCATGCGAATGCGTGTGAATGTGCTGGTATTTTGGTTGCAATTACTCAGTTGTCCAGTTGGTTCTTTTGCAGCAACTACCAGCTTTCTCCAGAAGACACGAGGCAACAGCGGCAGTCGGTGATTTCAGACCTAGTGATTTCAGAGAAGGCAACTGGCTCCGTCAACTGTTTGCATGTGTAACACACCATTCTCGCTAATAAGGAGAATTAGGAGTACAACTACACAATCTTAAACAACTAATTTATTTGGAAATTACCCTAAAACAGCATACACACTAAGTGTTTATAGTCTACACCAATGAGGTAACTTATATAACACATTTTTACCAAAGTCAGCATTGTGGCTGAAACAATTATTTGATTATCAAATGACCATTACGCAACACATTGAAAATAACCCAATGGTTCACATACTATTCAATATGTTGTTGTATCCAAAAAGGATAATTAAAGTACTATTTCTTACCCAGTTAAACGTGTCTGTCTCCTCCCCTCCAACTTGTGTCTGAGCTTCCACCTCGGTTACTCTCTTGGTTGTCACGATATATAAAGTGTTGTCCACTCTGGCTTTCTGTACTGCCACCCTCGCTGGGAAATAATGATGATGGCCATGCAGCTTTGTGAGATGAAGCAGCAGGACAATCTACTGTGTATATTTTTAAGGTACTTCAATCAGAGGATCGGATGTTCGATCCCGGGCTCAAGTACGGTACAGTTTTATTCTAGAAACTTTTTTCTAGTATATAAGTTATTCTCAACTACCATTTGTAATTCTAAAGTGCTGCTCATCAAACACAAACAGAACTCTTTTTGCCAATTTACGATTGAGTTTCTGTACCAAATATAATTTTCTGCTCCAAAGAACCTTATTTTTATGTCCCAACATAGCCTCACCTGTGGCCTCCACAGTTCACAAGCATAGTCCCTTTCGGCGGGCCCCCAACACCTCCCCTCTGAGCATGCTCAACCACGTGGTTACAGGATCCTAAAACCACGAAACTGGGCTCTATGCAAAAGCTACCTTTTGTGTTGAGTGCTCGGGGAGGCCCATTCCGTGGTGGAAGTGAGGCACATGGTGTAGAGGAAAGATACGGTAATTATATCTGCTTTTTGCCAAGAAACACTGTTGTGGCAGATCCCAGAGAACAGTTTACATCGAGGGATTTTTTCTGGCCATTTCATTGCCTATTGCTCATATTTAATGCTATGAAACTACCTCCCTTTCAACACTCGCTCTCTGGAGGAGCACACTTTCCCTTGCCGGCTTTTTATGCATTGCCAAAGCTGCTAACTGTTCATAAATATCAAACTATACTGGACAGGGATCCAGTAAATGTTTGTTTCTCATCTTTACCTGAATAATGACATTATAAAAAAATAAGAAAGGTTACTTGAAGATCATCTGGTCCCTTATGCTGTAAATCAGGCTATTTATTTTCGAAGATTGGTTGTCTTCCTGACGGATCATAAGTCCTTATTAGTAATGGTGGAAAGGATCAATTACTTTGTCCAAAAGATGCACGGCCATCACATAAAGTAACTTAATATCAGATCAACATCAATGACAACCATCTCGGCCACCAGTATTTCACCTTTATATTGCGTTATTTTACACGTTCAGTAAAGGCTGGAAAAACCATTGACGTCAACGAGCTTTCTTTAACCTCATACAAATCTTATGCTTATTGCACTTTCTCTCTGCTAAATCGCCTTCTCTTCTCCCCCCCCCCCTCCACCTCCGACCCTCCCCTTTCAGGCAGATAGAATGACAGATCTATCACGGCGGCACTTAGTGTACACAAGTGTCGACGTCCCCACCTAAGCTGAGAACATACACATATTTAGAGAAAATGAAACCATAACTCCTAGAAAAGCTAAAGTTGTTAAAGTGTTTAAAGGACTTGACAGTGTAAAGGAATGCGTATATTCCTATCTGTGTGTGTGTGTGTGTGTGTGAGTGTGTGTGAGGGAGAGCGAGAGAAACTGTGTGTGTGGTATGGATGCACCCTGTCCCTTGTCACTCCGAAACAACAAGCCAATCATTCCTCGGTTCTAAAAAAAGCTCTCCTCCCCCTTTCAGTCCTCTCTCCCCCCTCACATGTGCTCCTCTCGTCAGCACCTCTCACCTTCAGAGTGACAGGAGATGAGTGAGGAAGAGGCAGAAGTGCGGGGGAGGTAAACGTGTGACTTGTGAGTCTGCCATGTTCAGGATGAATATGGGGAAGAATCACTTGAAACTTGAGAATAGATCAAGTTTCCGAAGCAGGGCAGATTTAAGAACAGCTCTACAATGGTGGACTGCAGGATGCCTGTTGTGCACTACACCTTTGGGACAATTTATATTCAGGTTCCCCTCCTATAAAAACTCTGAGAAACCAAAAGTAGATGGGGACGTATTTTATCATTGTCTCATCTGATTGAATATCATAATCTAGTCTTCTAATACCAATTATTGTTCTCTTTTGTATTGAGATAATGGGATTTGTCGGCTCTAGTCCTCTTAACACAGACAGAGAGAGAGAGCAATTATTTATTATGAGAATGCTCTTCAGCCTCTCCAGTTGATTCAGAATGCTGCAGCACGTGTATTAACAAGAGGTTTTTGTGCTTTCTCGCCTCTCAGGTTTCCATGGATCATGGTTCCGTCTGGACCCTGGTCCTGCCATGGCCCGACTAACCCTACCGCTTCAGACACTAATATGAGTCACATTACTATTACTGTCAACATTAATGCACATTACTATTTTTTTCTGCCAGGGAGTATTTGTGCATTCTGGGCACACAGGTTTTCATAGATGCTGGTTCTATCTGGACCTTGTTACTGCCTCGTGTCGTGGCCCTGCTGACAATTCCTGCAGATACCACAATCATTATCATTATTAATAACATTAATATTACTGCGGCAAAAACCAACCAACTTTGCTTCTTTCCTGAAGTCTCTGTGCTTTCCCTCTCCACAGGTTTCTGTGGATGGTGGTTTTATCTGATGGTGGTTATATCTGATGGTGGTTGTCCGGGAAGTGGTTCTGCCTAGCTTCCAATCTTTTCATCATTTCTGTCGCAGTAATTGAACATACATCTTTTACACATGACATCCATTGCAGTCTTTCCAACCCGGCAGAGGGAATCTGATTGTCCAGCTGTTAAACTAGGTTGAAGGTCAGTGACAGCAAACATCTTTTGGAAAAATGATTTGCGTATTTTTTCAGTAGCTCACCTGTTACACACAAATGTGCACAATCGCACATGTCCGCACCAACACCTATTTATATTCACTGCTCACCCTGCCTCTTGTAAATAGTTTTTTAGGAGTTTACATGGTCATCTAAATCATTGGTTAACAGTTGTTAGAAAATGACGACATTGAGGATGTGACAACAACTATGTGTGCCTGATAATTTTCTCTCCCACACAATCTCTGCCTGCCTGTCTCCAGTGGTGTTTATCATTTCTTTGCAATCCAAATCCATTACAACCCCCACACACAGACACTTACGCATTCTCAATACCCCGAGCACATACATGACTGCAAACACTTAAACATACTGTCCTCCATTCTTTGTTTTAACAAGGTAGGGTTATATTCTAAGCATGGCACATGCTTAGAATATTTAACATTGTGAAAAGAAAAAGCACACACACACCTGGTTAAATTAACAACTGTTAAATTAGTAAGATATTGGTGACATATGAACATTTAACATGAATATTTTATTTGGCTAATAAAGGTCACAGAACATATTAATGTCCTCAAGCAAAGAGCGTGCTGATATAGCGCGTTTTTGTAAAGATAAAGCTTTTTGGTCAAGTTCAGGGTAGGCTGTTGCGTACCTGACCCCCTAAAAAGAGCACAAGCAGGTGATTTAGGTGTTTTTTTAATGGGACACGTTACGCAGCCCTGAATATACAAGACCTGTCCGGCGCGCCTTTTCCCTGTTATATAAATAGTCACTACGTGCAGTTACGTCTGTGTCACACGAGGGAAGACGTAGTTCAGTCTGACATCCAAAAAGCTGCATCAAAAACGTTGGTCAAGCCAGACGTAGAATATGTTGATTAGTCCGTCATCCATCCTTCTCCCACACATTTACCCACATGTGTCACTGGGATGTGTCCCATGGTCTCTTATGGCTATGGTGTCACCTTTGGGACAGACCCCTGGTGGTGTCTGTAACCATTTGTGTTAAGCCTGAGTGGTGAAAGGGCCCTGTGGTAGTGTAATTTACTGGATGCCTCAGACATGTGTTATTTCAATGAGGATCGGCAACACCACCAGGCATAATGACAACAAAAGAAGTTAAGTCAATCAAAATGTGTAGTTAAAAATAAGTTCAAATAGAATTAACTTCCTCCAAAGTGGGCACAAGTAACTTTTTCAGGGCGTCCTGCCAGGAGATGAAGTGCTTGCTTGAGGTGCCTGGGCCAGCCAAGTTTCCTACCAATGTGTATGCAGCTTCACTTCAGCCACCGGGTGACATCGGTTGAACTCCTCATCCAAAACCGAAGTCCCTCCTTAAGGAGACACTGCAGCTGCACATGCCCATCCTAGAAAACATACTTAAAAAAAGATTCCCTTTGGTTAAAAGGGGCAAACTTTCTGGACCAAAAGACATTCACACCCATGCCAGGGTAGCATTTGGTTTTCCGTGGCAAACACAAACGTCTGGAGTCAAATGTGGGCAGAGACTTGTGAGGCACAACTTCCTGGCTGGCTACCTGGCAGCCCTAAAGTCCTGGAGTTAAACAAGAAGCCCTGCTGTCCTCCACCGAGTACACCCAGACTGTCCGTTAGAGTTCCACTGGGAGACGAGCCAAGGAAGGTACTCTGATGATTGGCAGCGGCAGCCATTTTATCAGGGCTGACTGCGAGGCGTGGTGACGGAGGGAATGCGTAACCGTACAGGCTGTACGGCGGTGTGTGGAGACGGAGCCCAGCGTAACCCTGCGGGGTGGGGCTGGATAGATAGCCGAGTTGAGACGCGGGGAGAGGCAGAGCACCGAATCCTTCGCCTTCATAAGCTGAGGGACCCCTGGGAGGGGGGAAGGGCTCCGGGGGGTTGCTATAGCGATGGAGAGGGTGCGAGGGTCGGCTGCAGGTGTAGTCGGGCGGGCTGTGAGGGCAAATCTGGAAGGATGAGGAACAATGGGACGTGGAGATCAGGTGAGGAGAGGTTCCGATTGCACAATGAGCTCCTGGGATCCCTGTGAACAACAGAATTAGACCGGTTGGAAAAGATTGACACGTATATCTGCATGATTTGGATGGAATGATGGATTGAATCATTTGGAATATTTTAGTAAAAACCTCTTGGGCAGGATGCCAGGGTGAGAGGTAAGGAGACAGAGGGACGAGATTTATTTTCATTATCTGGACAAATCCAATGACTTAACTCTACCTTGCTTGGTAATGCCGGGGATGTCCTCAAATGTTAGCGTTCGCAGAGATGGACGCCAGAAGGCATAAGACTCAACCAAAGCCTCCAGACCCATCCTGTTTGACAAACATGATTGCCGTTAACACAAATCGACTTCACCGAACGTCCTTTTCTTGTGATCTCCTTGGCGGTGGGCCACACAGAGAGATTTCTCCAAACCTAACACGTTGAAAACGTGAGGGTAACAGCATGTAATGGGTGTGGAGAGCCATGATTTACCGTTTTGCATAATAAGTGGTCCTAGGGGTTCCCCCTTCACAACAAGGTATCGAATTGTACTTTAGAACAGATTAGGGAAATCTGCAAAGATCATTTCTAGCACCAATGGAAAAAAATGGGGCTTTCCTGATCATTGTTGGAAGTGGAGAATCTGGCCCTGAATTGGCCGGATTCTCCATCATTAGTCACTGATGCAGCTTGGCAGCCTGGCAGGCAGTTGTTTTCTGCCAGCATGCCTCGCATTACGCCAACCACCTGGCGCTATCTCGGTTGCCCGTGGGGCCTCTTTCCCCCGTCTCCATGGAGACCGCAGGTAATGAGGAGCATAAACGCCACATTGCCATTGGCTGCTGCGAGCCAAGTGCTCAGAGGTAATTGCTTTCACACGGCTTTTACGGGCGAATCAGGACGAAGGAGCAGGAAGCCGCAGCAAGGATTTACGAGGTGGGACTCCCCTTCCCCCCCCAATCTCCGTCTCCCTCCTGCTCTAGGTGGGGCGGAGGGTTTTGCCGTGGTGGGTTAATGCGAATGCTCTGTTACCCCTTGTTAGCGAGAAGATAAAAGTCTGCCCCCCGCAGGGTTGTAGCCACGGCGATAATTTAGACAAGCTGCCCTGAGCGGTTGCTCCAAAGTAACCTATCAGAGCAGAAGTTTACATAGCAAACTGCTTAACTCTTCCTATAACATTTAAAGGGAGGTTGTTTTTCAGCCTTCCTGAGTTTAACTTTTATAGGCTCAGCTGTCGAGCTTATCCCTTTTGTTGGTCTTTACTTTCATCCCTCTCAAATTTTCGATCTCACACGTTCCTCATCTTTTCCTTTCTTTCCTCTCTCTCTAATAATTTCTGTGAGGCCCTCGGGGTAGGAGCTGTTTGCAGAAAGTTGCCGTTTTACTGCTGTGTTGTTTTAATGCTGTGTTTATATACGTTCGGAAATGTGTTTATACAGATTTTGTTCAGGACACCCTTGACTTTTATTATTTTGCCGTTGATGTCGATGTTCTCGGGGCCGACTAGAATCTGACGCTCCATCTAGCTTTGTAGCAGAGAGGTTTCCCTCACAGAGAGTTTGCCTGGAAATATGCTGCTTGGATTAATGGGCGTTTTTAAGAAAGCAGAATTAAAATGAAAATGCATTATTTAATATACTGAAATCTAAATAGCATCTGACATATAATTTAGTTTAGTCAATTTCTTTCCTGCCAGTTAAAAAAGATTTAATTAAAGGGTGTTGCACATTTTCCATGAACAATAAAATTGAAATGTACAAAGCTTTGCTCCCCATACAATCAGACTGAAATAGCTGGTACAACATTCAAGCCAGAACATAAGGCAGTCGTGCATCCCACATTACCCATAATGCACCAGATATTCTGAAAACCTCTGTGACTGAATTGAGCTCACCGGTTTCTGCCAGAGTCTCTGAAGCCTTTGGCAAAAGGGTTTCTGTCAATTTTCAGCCTTGTAATCTGAAAAGGGAAAACAAAATAAGTGTAACATGTTACCGTGTAATGGATGATATTTCTTACAGCCCCAATAATCGTTTGTCTTACGATTTTAAGATTTTAATCTAATTAATAAATAAATCCTTTAATGAGCATAGTTTGGTGCCAAACGTGCTGTATGGATTTGTGAAATATATATGTTACTTGTTGTTGTTTTTGTTAAGATAAATGCGTTTGTGATACATTTTATGTGTGCGCAGGTTTGCCAAAGGGCCGTGGATGGTGTTTAAGGCCACGCTCTGTGACCCACATCCGAGGTGACTTTTATAGGCACCGCCACCTTGTTTTGAATTCAGCCATCACAGTTCAATTCTATGTCAATGCTTATATAGGCTGTTCCACTGCAACAATCTATAATAAAAAAACTTTACTGGGCAACATTTCTGAAACATGTCATGCTCAGTGAATGTTAAAAAGTACAAAAAAAAAGAACAACTTTAAGTAAGCAATGTCATTTTTTAACAATCGGTCCAATAAGTGTTCCTTGGTGGAACTAGTAAAACACCAATGAAAACCGCGGGGTCTTTCTCTCTCCCTCTGTTTTGGAAGAAACTTACACACAGAATAATCTGCCTCAGAACAAGGTGAATAATCTAAAATGGTTGTAAGGCAAATATCGCTACCTATTTGACCTTTTGTTGCATCTTACAGTTCTGTGCTAAACGTGATTATTGAAGATCGTCTGCTCTAGTGTCACACACTGATTTTTGAACCCTCAATCATCGCCAGTTAGAATTCATACATGGTTTTAAACTCCAAAACAATGTCGACCACGGGCAGTCATTAAGGCACTCGCGCGCTGGAAACGTGGATTTTTTGGCTACGTTGGCTATTTCAGCAGCTTTGGTTTCTAGAGGGAAGGCGGTTGTGTGGAGGACAGCTGTACCTGTTGATTCTGATATGCTGTGACTGTGGTGAACACAGTTTCAGGGAAGGTGAAGGTGCGGGTGCCGTCCCCAGCAGGGATGGCTCTCACCGGGGATAACTCCTCTCCGCACTCCTTGCGAATAACATGGACTCGGGGCTGGTATTTATGCATTGAGTGCAGGATGATCTGAACAGGAGAGGAGAGATCATCAAGTCATGTTATCATACCTGTTGTACTCAATACACAGAAGCAACTTCCAGCAGGAATATTGTGAACTCATCCCAAACAAATATATGAATGCTTCACATTGTTTGAAACATTAGTCTTGGCTACAATGTCCACCTTTTTGTTCCAAAAAGTTATAAAATATGGCATACAAATTAGTCCAATTGTGCACACGGCGGTGCTTGACTGTTATAAACATGTTATGTTCAACAAAGCAAACGGCTAATCAAAAATAACCACCAAACATCCAGCACATGAATCATAAATGCCCCTTACCTTCGACGTTTGAACCAAATTATGTAAAATTAATCTGTTTTAGGTGCGATACGTACATCCACCATTATAAGCACACCATAAGCAGATTCAGCTCTTTTCGTGCAGGTATTAGGGGTTAGGAGGGGGTTTCAGACCATTCTCACTCTTATGCTCTCGCCATTTTGGCTTCTGAGTGGCTGAGGAAGGTGGTGATCATTTAACGTGGCTTCAGTCCATCCAATAGGATCGGACAATTCAAAAAAGTGGATTGAAGTCGTGAATTGGCCAATCAGAGCCAGACACAAAAATTGTCCAAATAGGACAAAGTGGTTAGTGATTACTAACTTTTACACTTTTTATCATGGTACAGAGTGGAACCGGTTGGCCAGTGAACAAAGCTCTATTGTCTATTTTAAAGCACATTGAGTTTACCTAAGATACAATGGGAAAATACAATTGTTTGATTGATTGATACATATATACATCTAACTGTGTTTCAAAAGAAGCTCAGAGAGAGAATTGAGATTCCATTCATTTCATAGTTGTGATTAATTTTCAGTTGTGGGCTTTCAATGCTACAATTTACAGTGTGAAAGGACACTGAAAAACAGGTAAAATAATCACAACACAAAATTGTAATCAAAATATTAGATTATGTAATCATAAATATTGGAGATAAAACCTACACTTATCAACATTTAATAAAATGTTAAAGTTTATGAGGTTTGTATAGGTATTTCTTTTTCATGACACACATATTTGGCGTGGCACTTACGTGTCCTTGGTCGTCCAGTTCGTTGTTGGTCAGTTTAAGTTTGTCGAAGCTGACCACCTGACGTATCCACGTCTCTCCCGAGGCGGGCGAGTCCGGGTGTATGTAGACACGAGGTGGCACGGGGGAGTCAGCGTTCCCTGCTACCATCCACTTGGAGCTGTGGTACACGTACCTACACAATTCACACACGCAGGGGTGTCAATGAATAGTTTGCATTGTTTGATCCTGCTATACACCATTTCACATGCACACCAAAAGATGTGCCAAGCAAAAAAGACCAATAAGCAATAATCATAGAACTTTAAAAATCATAGAACTTTATTGAAAGTTGAGGGAGAGGGTTGAATGGCACGACAACGTAACATAATTCCATCAATGTTGGAATTTTCATTCAATTGTAATTTGATGGTCCTGCTTTCAACTGACTGCAGCAATGATATTTAAGCTACTTCTATCCAAATATATTCAGTTTTGTTCATTGCTGCATTTTATAGCCTATAACAATGTTAAGTAAAATGTCCACATACATAATAAAGCAGGCCTAAAGCTATTTGAATTCCTATTATTTTTGGTGTATGGAATTTAATGTGTCAATGTGAACCTATGTGAATGCATATTGTAGGCTGTAAGTCAAAATTCTGTCCACCACCTGCCGTTAAGCGTTTGGTTGGAGTAAAAAGCTGCAGACCCCCCTTCCTTTGTGGCACTGTGTGTGTGTGTTTGCGTGCGTGCATGAGAAACACACATTTCATCAAACCATAGTATATGTCAGATGTTGTCGGAGCGTCCGAATAACATGTCATAAAGGATGTCACTCATCTCTCCACTGAGCCGCTTAATGTGCCTCCATGTAAACGGGCTTTAAGAGGTAGACCTGAAGCGCCGTGCAAAGTAACGATGCCGCTGCAATAACGACCTATTGTTTTCTGCACCCCGGGAACTTGTGCTGGTTTGACCTTCTAGGGTGGAGAAGCTTGGCATCCAAAAGGCTATTTCCAAAGGGTATGGCAAAACCACTGTGACAACTGTCTGGTGCCAAGCGCCATTTGGAGGGACGAAACTTGCCTTGCACAGATTATAAACATATGTTGTCCCAGGGACAGTCTATTTAAATAATACATGTTAGCAGATAAAGACTGTAATATTCCGGTTCTATGTTGAAGAGTTCGTAGCAGTTATAGCTTTATTTAACATTATAAGTACTTTTATAATATTCGTATATTTTCCTTCTGCGTCATAATACATTGTGACAATGTTACTTGCATGGAGTGTGTGTGTGTGTGTGTTTGTTTTACCTATATCGCTTGTTGTCTACGGGGATGATATCCATAGCGATGTAATACTGCTGATGTGGGTCCAGGCCCGTAATTTTCACGCGCATAGCGGGGAACATCCGCCTGACAGGGAAAACCAAATAAATCATCTGCTTTGGAGATTTCAGACCGACTTCAGATCAGGATTTACAACATCGTAACAACTTTACTGCTTCATAACATTAATAATAACAATACAAATATCAATCCAGCGTCACAACTTGCGTCTCATCATTAAAACGTTTTCATTCACATGTGTGTAAATGTTCTAGACACATCGTCTTCATGTCATTCCTTACTTCACCTATCTGTGAGGAGGTAATTTGTTTGCCCGGCTCATACCGTCCAGCCTTGGTAATGATCATTTCCGTGCCGATCTCGTGGAACCGCTTCCACAGGTCTGATCCTTGCAGGTCCACTCGGGGGTCCTCCCCGCTTCCGGTTACCGGCCCCGTGCACAGAGCAGCGGGACGTGGGCTCTCCAGCAGAGCGTCCTGGCTCTCCGCTGCACAGGAAAGAGGCGAGACGGACACGTTTCCAACAGCAGCAAACACATCCAGGCCCAGCATTAGTCCATAGCAGAGATATTTTGAAACGGAACTATACGAATAAAAACAATAGATATAAAAAATAAAAAATGGTTTCATGCTGAATACAAGCTATTTTAATAGTACACACACATTGCAGCAGATCGTCCGATTACACAGTCCTATAATAATCAAGACCAAATGCATAATGTACGTTTTTTAGCAGCACAAAAAATAATCTTACCACACACTGCAAGTTATATATTGCAGGGAGATAAAATGCTGGTATATTCCTTCAAATTTAGTACTGGTACACTTGCAGTTGAGAATTGAATGTGTATACAATGTATCTTTAAACTAAGGTCACCCTGCATTAATTACTGCATGTGTAACAAATATATAAGAAGACAAATGGTGATTTCATTATTATGTCACAACTGAACTCAAATTGAATTCCCAGTTGACTTTTTACCATGATTTTCAGCATGGTGGTTGGGTTTTAATATATTTTAATATCGAGAAGATGTGGTTATTTGCGCTATTTTAACAGTCCCCGCCAGTGAGACATTCACGGGCATTAGACATTAGGCCGAACCAGCTGAAGTGGCAGGAGGACGAAGTGCATTATAAAAGGTGCATTTTTAATCATTACTTTTTCATGGGGTTACGTTTCCTGTAGGACCTCCTTGCGTGTTTTCCGTGACAGTTGCCACTTTAATGGGCTGCTGATTGCAACATGTTCGCCCCCCGCGCACCGCTCACATTGCGCCTTTACTCCGTTTGGGTTTATCATTTTTTTATTTAGTCATTTATTACAGAATTATTTTCCCGAGTATGCAGAGGAGAGCATCATTATCCTAAAGAAAAATAAATAAAGCTTCTTAAAAAACATAAACAAGCAGGTAGTTAAGAGTATAAATCAGTACCTTCCCTTCAAAATACGATCCGCGGTAACTTTAACGCATTGACATTTTAAGTCCGACGTTTTATCTATTTCAGTAACTATTATTGTCCGTTGTTGTCATCGTTATGACGGGCTTTGCTTGTTGTTGTTGTCGCCGCCGGGTACTCACGGAATCCGTCACTCGCACAGTCGGCCTCGCCGCACCGGTCGCCGGCGCACGCTCTATCGGCCCGCGGCCCCGTGAAACCAGCGACGTCCGTTCCGTCCTCGCAGCCGCGCGCTTCGGCCTCCTCGCCGGCCGTCCGGCGTCTCTTCTCTGCTCCGATCAGCGCCTCCACCGAGAAGGCGTGCGCTTTGACGCTGAGGGCGCACGGAGTTCGCCGCTTCTCTGCCATGTTCCTTGCTGCCGGGGGGGGGGACGAGGAGCGAGGAAGGACGCGGTGTCACCGGTGCGCGGGGAACGAGACAAGCTCCAAAACGCAGGGCGGGTCGCTTTACAAGAATTCCACCGGGACCGTCCGGTGCTTTTTTGGGGGAGCGACGTTGTTCGGTCCTCGGACGAGTCGGAATAACGCCTCCGTTATCCGTGGGAGCGGTGCAGATTTCGGACAGTCACAACAAACGGGGTTTACAGGAGAGACGGAGGGGGACCTGCCAATCACAGCCGGGAGCAACCAATCAACAGCGATCACAGCCCCCCCGAAAGTTGCGTGCTGGTCCCGCCCGCTGCTGCGGGGGCCGCTGGTGCTGCCTTACGGGGGTACAAGTGGAGGTGGTGGATGAATCATGTCTCCAGGTGACGGAGAGAAAGGCGCGTCTCACTCGGGCATTGTGCGCGTTTTCACACCGCAGCCGCGGATTCCTCCACAGGGCGCGTGGCCGCTCACGTTCCCCCATCCTGGAAATTAGCAGATGAACGTTCTGTGTGTTTGATATCATTTTATACAAAATGCACATGCTGGCCCACCCGTCACAGCACCAGAAAAAAATATATTTGCTCAAATATAATGTTTCCCCTTTCGTGCCCTTCAAAAGTAAAAGAAATCGGAATGAAGTCTGTCTAAATTGTGAGCAATGCAAATAGCATAAATAGCTGTATGCGATAAACACATATATGAGTTGGTCAAATAGCGCGCAACGAAATATTAGTAACATTGTGCACACAGAAGCGTCAACTTACTGAACTTGCACTGAAAACAATTAACACCAACGTGTCTGATCTTTTTCCTTTTAGGATCTTTTTCAAAGTGAAATCAAATCCCGATCCCTGAAACAGCACCAAAGGGTAACCAGCTGTACTGCACCGAAATACAACTAGTTGCACCATCACGGGCTGACAGTGCATGATGTTTTATATTTTAAATTGAAAATGTAGGTGGAATAATTGTACATGTGAATGGCTTAAAGGCCATGCATGATTAAGAAAGTATGGTTCAGATGATCAGAGGCCTCAACAAGCAGCTGAAGGGAGCTGCGATGAGCCGGAATGTCTCTTTGCGTGTTTGCGACTAACATTCCACACTTTAAAGGTGGCGTCCATGAGCGTGCGGTCACGCGCGGGATGGGTGTGTAGAAGCTAACATTTGGAGAGGGGGGGGGGCATAGCTATAAAAACCCGTAGAATCAAATGAACACACGACCGAGCGAAAATAGTATTATTCGAAATGAATATGCAGGATTTCGCATAATAACAGGGTAGTTTAACGACCATCGATCCTTAATTCATCTAATAATCTGTCATCAGCAAGTCTTTTTAGGTCCTCGTTTATATGTTGACAGAAGAATCACATTTTATTACGTGGATTCCATTAGTCACATGAGGATTTCCTTATTATTCGAAGGCGTCTTTTCTTCCGTCAGGATCACTGCACAGCTTTGGGCCTCTCGTGGTCCGATGGTTAAATAAACAACACGTGCCCATCGTTTGTGGCCATGAATTCAGTGTGAACGCTTTGACGTCACGGGGAAGGTGCCCACAGAGGCATCACATCAAAACGCGTGAGTTTCACTTCCCGTGGGCATTTATTTATATGTTATATTATATATATATTTCTAGATGAGTCGGTGGCAATTCAATTGTTCACGTTCGGTTTGAAACGTTGATTAAATAAAAGCCCAGCTACATGATATGTTAGTTTAAATCTTTCAAAACTGATTTTATTTTTTTTGCTTGCAAAGTGCTGGGGATACAATACAAATTATCTTTTAAGTGAATTGCATTTTACAATTAGCCTACACTTAAATACATTACACTTCTCCTATTTTAGCTCAATAACTTTTATCTTAAGATAAAAATTAAATATGGCAAAAGCTGAGGTGTAAGCAGGATTTTGAAGTAGCATTGTTAACAATATGAATATGAAATTAAGGGCATTCAACAACAAATGAGAATAATGGTGATTAATAAAAAAAAATCAATTGATTCTACTTGAAATTTAAAAGCTATTATTTTGTAGTGAATGAGGTCAAATAATACAATTGTATTTCAAAGAGATTCCCCCCTCGTGGCGTTTAACAGTTTGGTTAACATTTGTAAAACCTCTGGCTCTCATTAGCCCCACCAATTTACATGCATCAATGTTATTCGGTGCAGTTTCCTCATCCAACTGTTGGTTCCTATCAGTCCGCACTAAGAAACACAGTTTTGTTGTGACAATGTGTATCTTAATTACAGGCGTCGTGTAATAAAATCACATTTTTTTTCACATTGTCACATTGTCAGTAATTAATTTCATTTGAATTCTTATTCAATTTAGTTTGAAGGTGTACTGTAAGAGAACACTATGTCATTAGTCGTGGGCAGAATTTTTTCCTTAACCTACATTTGTATATATATATATATATATATACACTAAAAAATTAGACAGTTACTTTTTCTTTTCATATTTGATTAACGAATCGGTTTAATTTTCATGGGTTAATACATATTCTTTTTTGTTAGCAGGTGTACCGGTTATTGTGTTTAAGAGAACACTATGTCATTGGCAGAATTTATTACTATATATATCTATATATATATATAGATATATATATATATATAGATATATATATATATATAGATATATAGATATATATATATATAGATATATATATCTTAATAATTTTGATTATTGAACAACAGCAAGAAATAAAGCAAACCTAAGAATAAATTTATATGGAAAAGTTGACCTACTGAAGCGTTGAAATTAAGTATTGCCACAGGTCTGATTTCACATCAAGTCATTTCGGACTAGTTATATAGGTTATCTAACATTTGGATACACTGCCAGGCTTATACATGTGAAGATGACCTGGGGGGCAATAACATTGAGGAATTAGTTCATCTCTGCCTCTAAAAAGATACAAACTAAATCACCCTCATCGTGTCGCCATGCAACGATTTGCATTAATCCATCTGTGAATGCTTTGCATGTGAAAGGAAGTGGGCGCAGTCAAACCAACCCGGCAACTCTGTGCATTCTCAGATTTGCACTGAAAACAACACCACGGGCCTTTGCATTTCTTTAATTAATTAGGCTCAGGCTGCGTAAGGATACTGCTCAGTCAGTAGTCAGATTCTCAATGTGTCAGCACCTAAATTTGATTTGATGAACTATTTAAAAAATCTAATTTGAGTGTTATTAGTCTTTAATCCATGTATGGGCATTTTTAACATTATTTTGGTGTAAAATATACACCACTCTAATTGGATGGTACTGTTCAAGTATAGACGAGAAATACATTTAATTGGAAGAATACACAACAAATTCACCTTTAATAAATAATAATACAGACTGTGAATATCTATTAATGTACACCATGAACATGGCCCTACATTTAACCAGTCCAAAAAATGTTGTCACTTTGATGAAAGGGTTTGGCCGTTCATTAAAAACCTTTAAAATAATTACCTGTGAGCTTTGAAGGGTAGGGTAGAAATTCCGTCGCAGGGGAGTCTGGGTAATACATTGTTAACAGTTATTTAGTGTGTGCTAATGGGCACGTGGATCACTGCCAGGGCTTTTATGGCGGAAGTGGCATGAGCGGTGGGGAAAAGTGTGTGTGTGTGTGTTTGAGAGAGAAAAGAGAGAGAGAGAGAGAGAGAGACCTACACAGTGCGGTGCTAATGTAGGCTGTAGGCCTTTTTTTGTCTTAATGTGTCATTTTGATCTTTCCTGTGGACGGGATTCAGGGCTATTGATCTATGGGGGGAGTGCAGTCAAACAGCAGTGGGACAGCAATATTTACAGAGAGAAAAGCAGCACCCTGCTGCACCCAGCCATCTGCCGCCCGCCATATTCAGGGGTCCCCCGAGAACCTTGCAAGCATTCCTGCGAGCCCGGATCCCAGACATGAACTGCCCGATCCACTGCACGGCTCCACTGGGAAAGTCGTAACCTGAACTGCATTTCTGCAGCAGCTTTGCCAACACTGCAAAGCACACGGCCGCCAGGGGCCCTAGGAGCATATCCTGCTTATGCTGGCCCAGAGTCACTCGTCATCCAAGTGAAGTGACCCCTGCTCTCTTTCATAAAGTTAACCTTCCATTGAGAACGTGGTATTTACTGATGCGCTTGATGGAAATTGATGGATCTATGACATTTATTGAATTATTTTACGAGCCAGTTCTAGTCGTGACGCCGTTTATTCGGGCCTCTGTGTGTCTGTTATTCAAGTTGAACTCTTGCCCTGCTGAAAATCCAGCTGATACACAGACACACACACACAATCACAGGCAAACACACACACACACAGATACTGTAGAAAGTGAGAGACAGACTCTTTGCATCTCTGAGTTACAGCCTGAAGCTGCTTGACTCGCGTTGGATTAATTCGAAGCCCAAGAAATGCATTATTGACGTAACGCATAGCCTATCAAATCCTTATTTTAATATGACCTAACTTAAATGAAGTCAGGACGATTGTTTCACTGATCAAAAAATGTTTTTAAAACATTAATGTCAAAATTCAGTGTCTGGCCAAATATTTGATATCCTTATTCCAGTAAGCAGTGTTTTACACTGTAATAGAATCACTGTGAAATCCAGTTATTTACTTTGTTTGTGAGCAGTGAGCAGCTGTAAAAACTATTTCATAGTAATTTACTGTGTATTCACCAAAATAATACAGTAGTTTACCATTGACTGTGCAAATGGCAGTAACAAGTCTTATATAGAAACACAGTAGTCACAAAGGTGCTGTAAAACATTGCATCAACCACAACATACCGTAGAAAGTCACAGTAGAAACATTTACTGTAAAAAATAGATCAGACAAAATTGATTGTAGAAGACCACAGTAATAACTTGTTTAAATACCATGATCAAAAATATACTGTAGAAAGTTGCAGTAACCAAAATATATTGTGGAAAAAAAGTTATATAGTATTTTAGATGATTGTACTGGAATACTTTTTACAGAAATGTTTGTAATTAGCTGACAGTTTATTACTGTAATTATTTTTACAGTATTTTACTATGATACTTTTTACAGTAAGTTACTTGTCACTAGCTACCAGTTTCATTTCACAGTGTTTAGAAGGAGAGTGAAAAGTGGAACAATTGTGGGAATAAAGGTAATGATAAATTATTATTTGCCTGTATGCAGCCTGTGTAGTATTTCCTATGCTGTGGCATTAACACACACAAATACCTGGCAT